GGGGGCGGGCGGCGCGCTCCGAGGGGAGGAGGAGGAGGAGGGTGAGGAGGAGGAGGAGGAGGAGGAGGAGGAGGAGGAGGAGGAGGAGGTGGGAGGGAGGAGGAGGAGGGAGGAGGAGGAGGAGGAGGAGGGGGAGGAGGAGGAGGAGGACCTTGACTCCCAGGCGACGACGATCGAGAGGATCGAGGGCGAGGAGGGTCGAGGATCGAGGCTCCTGCAGGCCTCCGCTCCTGCTCTTGGGCCTCCAGGGGCGCCCTCGTGGCCACGGCCGGGCTCTCCTTCAGGGCGCGCCCCCCCCCCCCCCCGGAGAGGGCTCGGAGGGTCGATCCCGGAAGAGGAGGAGGAGGAGGAGGAGGAGGAGGAGGAGGAGGAGGAGGACCCCGATGGACTGCTCGAGGCGAGCGGCACTGGTGCGACATCGTCGGCCGCCGCCGCATTTTGATAAGCCAAGGGATGGAGGAGGTATACAGATATATGTCTATATATAGAGAGAAGTATATATGTGTATATGTGTGTGTGTGTGTAAATCTTAAACATTCGTCTTCATATGTGCTTATAGGGCCGGGGACGCTGGAAAAAGCCCCCCCCCCCTAACGAATTTGGCCCTCCCGGGGCCTCCGGGCAACCCTTCAGATGACCCGGGAGAACCTCACGAGAGCCCGACGAAGGCCCCAGACGGGTTCCAAGCGTTCCGGCACGCTCCCGAAACGACCCCAGAGAGCCCCAATACGGTCCACGACGACCCCCAAGAAGCCGTCAAACCCCTAAAGGTCGCTCCAAAACGTCCCAAGAGGCCTCCAAGAGCACTCCCAAGAAGGCCTCAAGAGGCGAAAATCATTGATTTTCGGAAGGCTTTGGGTGAATTTTGGGGTTCTCCTCTTTTCGGCTTCCCGACGCTCCAAGACGGCGGGCGGTCTTCTGGGCGTCCGAAGCCGCCTGGGAGGCTCCCAAACCGTCCCAGAACCATCCGAAAAGGCTTCCAGGCAGTCCAAGAGAGCCCCAAAACGGCACAACAGGGGTCCAAGATGGCCCTAAGAGAGCCCCATGACGGCCCAAGATGGCCCCAAGACACCCTCCGAAGCATTCCAAATCGTGACCCGGTCGTTCAGGGAGACCGCGATTGGAGGCAGGGTGACCCGAGGAAGCCCCTAGAGGCCCCCAGAACACGCCCAGGAGTCCTCCAGGAGGCCTTAAGAAAACATGAACAACTTTTGTGAGGCCCCCAGAGGCTCTCCAAGGAGGAGCCTCCGCAAAAAGAGCTGAGGAGGATGGGGAGAATGCGCAGGGTATGGCGAGAATGATGAAAGAGAAGCATGGAGGAAGGATAACGAATAACATCATTACAACGGCGATGCCAGAAAAGGCAACAAGGGGTTCTCACGAACTTGTCGGCTTGCCTTCCTGTGGTTCAGCCCGCACACCAAACTTCAAGCACCAAGGTGTATGGCGCGAAGCGCCACTGCAGTTTGGTATATATACACATGTGGGTATATATAGATATGTGTGTGTAAACCCACACACGCAAGGTGGGGGTGCAGGTGCTGTCTCCCTCTCTCGCTCTCTCATCCACCGCGAACCTGCCAATCCAGAGCTCGAAACTCTACAGCCGTGGCTGGGAGGTCCAAGGGCGCCTACCTTCGCGCTCCCGCGCTGCGCGGAGCGCGCACAACTTCGCGACGTCGCGCCGCCCCCCAGGGGAGAAGAGGAAGACAACTGAGGAGGAATCGGAGCCGAAGTGCGCAGCGCGAAGCGCGAACAGCTTCGCGCCCTCGAGGTCTGCGTGAAAGAAAATAGGCGGCGAGCGAGGGGGGAAAGTGAGAGGGGGCGGGGCTTCTCAGAGTTCTCGGAAGTCCCCGGGCCTTCTGAGAAGTTCTCTGAGCCTTCGCCGAAGACACACAGAAACTTCCTAGAAGGCGCGAGGGCCTCTGAGAAGTCCCACCGCCTTCTGAGAAGGCCTTCCCCTTCTCCCTTCCCCTCTTCGCTCGCCGCCCAAAAAAAAGGACCTTGATTCCCAAACGACCCCGTCGTGTGATGTGTGCATTAGGTCGGGCATGTCCCCCTACAGGCGGATCTAGGACGAACAAATTTAAACAACTCCCCCCCAAAAAAAGCCCCCCAATGCTCAGAAATAATAAACAAATCGTCCCCATACATTTTTTTTAAATACTATTTTTGACTATTCCTCCTGTAGAGGGACACGCCCGACTTCATGTGTGCACTCTCAGACCAAGCAAGGGGGCCTCTCGGCGGGCGGCGGCACGGCGGCGAGCGCCGGCCACCCCGCGCAGGGGACGGGGGGGGGGAGGCGCTCGACCCAGGAGGGTTGCACCTCCGAAGTATGCGCTCCCTCTGCTCGGGCCCACGGGCCTGGAGGCAAGAGCCTCCGCTCTCTGATGTGTGCGCTCAGACTTGGCGGCGCGCAGAGGGGGGGTGGCGGGAGGGGGGAAGGCTTCTTACAAGCAGGCTGCGTAGACAAGGCCCGCGCCTTCTAAGCAGCAGGGCTGCTTCTGAGAAGCCTTTCGCCCCCTTCCCTCCACCCCCCTCTGCGCGTGGCTGACAGACCAAGGGGGGGCTTCTCGGCGGGCGGCGACGGCGGGGAGCGCCGGCCACCCCACGAAGGGGACGGGGGAGCGAGGCTCGATCTACGAGGACTGCACCTCCGAAATATGCGCTCGAAGCCCTCTGCTCGGGCCCACGGGCCTGGAGGCAAGAGCCTCCGCGCTGGCCACTCCACGAAGGGGACGGAGGGGCGAGGCTCGATCCACGAGGGCTGCACCTCTGAAATATCGCTCGAGACCCTGCTCGGGCCCACGGGTCCGGAGGCAAGAACCTCCTCCGCTCTCCGAGTCACGGCAGGTTCGCGTCGTGCCGACCCCGGCGCTGGTGCCTGACGCCGCGGGGATCATTCAAACTCGGATGAGCGGCCCTGTCAGGAAGGCCGGATCGTTCCGGGATGGGCCGATTCTGGGCCACAAACGGCGTTCAACCTTAAACGCACGCGCTGGGGTCGCCGCCAGTCGACACGACTCGAACCTGCCGTATGTCAACTGACGGTGGCTGAAAAAAGGGGGGTAACGATTCGTAAAATGGTTTCCCGACCTGCGGCGTCCGCTTCGCTTCGGCTCCGGCTGGCCCGTCGACTGTCCAGGCGCGCGCCCGAGGAGAGGGCGGCAGGGAAGGATTGAAAAACAGCTTCCTGGCCAAGGGGGGCGTTTCTCTAATCATCATCCTGGGCCTGGGCGCCTCCGTGTGAACACGATCCCCGGCAACATTTCTGAATCATCATCTTGCATTACATTTAGGTCGGGCATGTCCTCCTACAGGCGGATTTTGAGCGAAAAATCAATAATACTCATATATATATATATATATATATATATATATAAATGGCCAAGAACCTGTAGAGGGACAGGCCCGACTTGACACTGGCCTCTCCAGACATGGTGGGGTGAGGGAGGGAGGGAGGGAGAAGGGGGGAGGAGAGGAGAGCCAGGGAGGAGGGTCCGTGGGCCTACCGGAGGGCCGCTCTTGCCCTGGAGCGCCCGATACTGGCTCCCAAAGTTCCTGCAGACCCTGAGAGCCGACGTTGCAGCAAACATTGCAACATCACCAAACAAAAACTCGACCAGAGCCCTGGGCCCCATGTTTCTGCGTCATTTTTCAAAACGGATCAATATGTGAGGGCCCCAGGGCCCGACATCGAGCGAACACGCCCGTTGTGAAAAAATGGCATAGCCAGGATCTCAAGGTGAGGAGGCGGATCGGTGCATGAACCAAACTGGTCCGTCGTCACGACGCCAACGTTTTTTGACACCAGCGGCCCACAGGCCCCAGTCCACGGGGCAACGAGTCGAGACGACGACCTGTGTGCGTCGAACACCACGAGCGTTAGGTCGGGCATGTGCTCCTACAGGTGGACTTTGGTAGGCAAATGAAAGCGTTAAAAATATTCAAAAATCAAAAAATGTTACTCAAAATAGCACGACACGTCGTCAGCTGACGATCATGACCATTCTCGAATATTCCTCCCGTAGGGGGACATGCCCGACCTAGGACGAGCGGTGAAGCCGGGCAAGCTCCACCGACAACTGCCGGGGAACTCGCAAGCCGAGGCTGGGCGCCCCCCGACGTGGGCGTTGGTCTGTGACGCCGCGTGGTTGGCTCACCATCGAGCGGCCTCCGTAGGAGGCCACAGGCGAACCATACAGCGGAGATCAGTCCACAAGAATTCTCCCTCAAGAAGGCCAACCCTGAGATCCCAGGACGACCATCGATTTTTGGTGTGGGCACGTCACTCTTTCCATGGCAAAACCATGGAAACCCAAGAAACCCAGGGCACCCTGGAGGCAAGCAAGGTGTTTCTTGGCATGGGCCCCCACTGTACCCCACCACCCAACGATTTCTGAGGGGGGGGGGAATTCACTTCGCTCGGGAGGTCCCGAGCGAAGTGAACCCCACCTCGCCCCTACGAGATCGTGGGGTGGCGGGGTAGGGTTCGCGTGTGGCCTCCTACCCCGTGGTCCGACGGCGGAGGTCCTCGGAGCAGGGCGAGCTGAGACAGCGGCAGCTCAAGATCGGTCCCTGGATCCCTCCCGGGGTCCAAGCGCACCAGTTTTTCTCGGCGCTGGGCAAGCCTCCCTTTAGCAAACCACCCTTGATGGTGAAATCGGCCTGGGACCGAAACCGACGGATCTGGACCCGCAAAATTGACGGCCGCGACGCCCTCTCGCGAACCGGACACGGCCAATTCGCTAATCGACGTGCCAGGGCAGGAGGTCTGTCAACCTCCGAATTTTCCGAGCTGCGTCCCGCCGCGGGGGCCTCCCGGAGGCCAGCCTACAGTTGCCTCAGCGCGACCTCCTCTGGCTCCTGCAGGCTGGCCGACGGTGGCCCTCCGCCTCGAGCGCCCCTGCCCGCGCCGACGCGGCGCGGGCGCTGCCGCGGGAGTCCAGACGAGGCTCCGCCCTGCGCGCCGCGGCCTGATGAGCGGCGGGGAGGTCTCAGGCGTCCGTCCAGACGTTGAAGAAGAAGGTGCCCTGCTTCGCGGCCGCGCCCTGCGCCGCGGGGTGCCAGAAATCGAACGCCTCGGCGTGGGCGAGCTCCCAGTCCGGAACCTGTGGGCACAGGCCATGCACCGGCGCCAGCCACGCACCGACTGTGCGGCGGGCGTGGGGTGATGCCAGCTGCAGTGGAGGCC